GTGCCCTTCCCGCAGGGACTCTCCACCACACAGGTTTCTTTTAATTTGCCTTTGTAACGAGCTGGGTGTGTGGAACGAGCCAGTCAGGGTCATTTCCAAGAGGTGGCTGGTTTCAGCCTCCCCAGCCAGGCTGTGCCGGTGACAGTGCCGTGGCTGAGGGGGACGTGGGGCAGTTGGGGTGCTGACCCCCTGCTCAGCCTGCCAGGGGCTGGTGTGGGCTGCAGAGGGCAGGGTGGGGACAATGGGGATTGTTCTCCCAACAATGCCTCTCGCCCCACACCGTGCCGCCCCCGCCCACCCTGATTAGCCTCCCTGGTGCACAGCCCCCTCCCCAGCCATGTTATCTCCTGCTTAAATCCCCCGGGAGCTTTTGGTGGGTCTGCTCCGGATCACTATGCACAACAGGGCTGGACCCTGGTGTGGAGAGGTGGAGGTTGGGGTGAGCCCTGCACCCCCTGAGCCGCTTCCTTCATCCCCCTCCTTCTGCACCAAGAAAGGGGATGGTGCAGCCCCTGGTGCACAGCCCCCTCCCCAGCCATGTTATCTCCTGCTTAAATCCCCCGGGAGCTTTTGGTGGGTCTGCTCCGGATCACTATGCACAACAGGGCTGGACCCTGGTGTGGAGAGGTGGAGGTTGGGGTGAGCCCTGCACCCCCTGAGCCGCTTCCTTCATCCCCCTCCTTCTGCACCAAGAAAGGGGATGGTGCAGCCACAAGGGCTGCATCCCACGGCCCCAGCAAGATATGTCAGGCAGAGCATCCCACCTTGCTGGGCACAGCATTCCCCTACCCAGCCCAGCCCACACGGGGACTCCAGTGAATTAAACCAACCAGCAAACATTTGTATTATCATGGAATGGTGGAATGGTTTGGGTGGGAAGGGACCCTGAAGCTCATCCAGTCCCACCCCCCCTGCCATCAGCAGGGACACCTTCCACTAGACCAGGTTGTTCAAAGCCTCATCCAACCTGGCCAAGAACACTTCCAGGGAGGAGCAGCCACAGCTTCTCTGGGCAACCTGGGCCAGTGTCTGACCTTATCCTCTCACATTATCCTTGACAGGGTGGAAATTCAGTCCCAGACAGGTGCCTCGCCTGGTCATAACACCACAACAACAATGCCTGCGTCTCTCCACACCACCACCACCCCTTGAAGCTGCAGTGGGGACCACAGTGACCACTTTCTCCCCCAGATGACCCATGCATGGACCCAAAGGCTCAGGAAATCAGCACCAGCAGTGCAATTGCTCCATTGCCATCACCCCAGCACCCTCGGCAAGGGCTTACCTGGCATCTTGCTGGGAGGTGAGGCGCTGGGCTGGTTGTGGTGGGGGGAGCCGTGGGACAGCAGCAGGTTCATGCTGTGCGGGGGCTGGCCCGAGCTGTAGGCATCCATGGCCAACTTCTGGCGGAAAGCCTCCTCCTTCCGCCGGTTGGCAAACCAGTTGTAGACGCGGACCTCCGTCACCAGGTTGGAGCCGAGCCCGTGCGCCTTGGAGGGAGACACCCCTCGCTGCAGACACTCGGCCCTGCGTGTGCAAGGGGACACGTTGGAACAAGGGTGCTGCTGGGGGAGGGGACACACACGAATTTGGGGGTGTTTAAGCCTTTTCTACAAGCCTGCCTGCTCTTCCCAACTACATCTACGCCATAAATGTCATCCCCACTCTCTTCAATATTGCTGTAATGCTGTGGCATCCCCATGGCATCCCCACGGCATCCCCGTGGCATCCCTGCCCCAACATGGATCTTGCCACCCAGATGGGCAAAATAAGGCAAAAAGAGGCCAGGCATCTTGGCAAAGCTGTGTCATGAGCTGGTGGCCAGGACCACAATCCAAGATCCCGGCATGGCGTGCGGTTTTGGGAAGGAAGGCTGCGGAGCGGGCGCGGCGGCGGCAG